TCACCCTCCAACCACAAAGAGCCGCCCGGCCGGCCAGCGCGCGACCGTAGTCTCCCGCTCCCAGCACCGAAAGATGCCGCTCCTCCGACTCCTTCACCGGCTCCGGCTCCTTGACCGGCTCCTTCACTGGCAACGGATCTCCCGTCTCCTCAGAATCCTCCTCCTTTGTGTCGGGAGTCAGAGTCACCGGCACCGGCAGGGCGGACGTAGTCAAAGCCTGAGGTAGCAGCTGAGGTGGAGGCTGTCCGTACATGATGTTAACACTCACAGAGTACGGCTTGTCGTCTGACAACTTCAGCAGCTCATCTAGACTCATGTTGGCGAATCTTCGGTCCGGAGGAGGCCCCAAACTAGCCACCTCTTTGGGTGCCTCCTTGGGCGGGTCGCTGACTTGCTCTCTCGGGGTCTCTGTAGGTGGCTGTTTGGGTGGGTCTCTTGGCGGGTCTCTCGGTGAATCTCTGGGAGAATCCTTGGCCTTCTCTATCGGTGGGTCTCGGACCAGCCCGCGGTAGCGGTTAGTGGCGCCTTCCGACGCTCGCCTGGCGCGGCCAGCCGGGGCCGCCCGGGCCACCTGCTGACGTCCGGCCTCCGCCCTGAGCGCGTTAGCTCGGTTGTTGGAGTACATCTAGAAGTGGGACGGGAGATGGTCACTCAGGACTTGAAGCAACCCCGATTTCGAGCTGATATCTGTGCCTGTTAGTTCCTCTCCGTCTTTCAGGCATTATTGCAAGAAGTCGTTTCATCATTCCTCCGTTTCGCTATCTCCAATTTACTGTGCACTCTCGATTCTTCACTTGGTCGTGATGGCATACCTCCAAGAGCCCGACCGACTTCCCTGTCCTTTTCGCTCGGCGTCACTCAATGCACTGGACGTCACATACTTTCCGTGTCGACTACACTGAAGGACACTCCACCCAGCACGTGCAAGCCCCAAGGCCGCTCGCACTCAACTGACCCACCCGGTTGCTGGCGGCGACTCGGCCATAATTATCGACAAGTCCGCCCCCTCCCCGCCAGCACAACAGCCAAGTGGTACCCAGTTTCTTCGTTCATTGACCTTACGTTCCGTGTAGGTCGATGGTGTTTGGCTGTGCGATTTCTTTGGAATAAGGTGCATGGACCCTTGCCATCATTCACGAAACCTGACGCACGCTCATCGGTCGATTGGCACTTCCTGCCGGGGCAGTAAACACTAAACACCCAACTTCGGGCCAATGGTGGTGCCGTTTCCATGGCAACCATAGAGCGTGGGCTGTGTGAGTGCATTGTGCGTTCGTCCTTTTTGCCCGAGTCGGACAGCTTATTGTCATCATGACAAAGTAGCGTGTACAATATCGTCCCATTCGTCGCTACGGCTTTGCGATGCTGCTAATAAAAGGAGGCGAAATAAGGTGTTTTGTGGTTACAGTTACAGAAGTAATCGATTCAATTCGACTCATTCAATTTACCGGCCTAAAGGAGCACAAATTGCAAATTATCGGAGCTCTGCATATACCTACCTAAATACTTATTGCTTGGGTGTCGTTTTACATACGTATGATGTGATACGTACACACTGCGAGTTTCTAGCAAAGCAGACCTTGCAACAAACCTTTGAACATGCATCATGTCACGTTGCAGCTCTGTTCTCTACTGACGTAATGCCTCAACCCGTTCTGACACCCCGTTTTCTCAGTCCCTCTGCAGGTGACCTGTCACTATGTCCATCGCCTACCGGAATCGCCGTGACCTTGACCTGGATGACCTCGACGACGACGACTGGCACGACCGGTGGGAGGAGTTTGGCGACCACCTTGGCCACGCCCTCTCGGCCTGGGTGTGGGTGGGCGTGGTAGTGCTCGCGCTGGTCTTCATTCTAAGTCTGGTGGCGCTCTGCTACTGCTGCCGACGCCGCCGACGTGGGAAGATTCTCCGAGCTAAACCCGCGGGAAGCCAGTGAGTATACGAAAGAGTGAAGAGGGATATGGGGAGAGGTTTTGACATCAAAAGGCCAAAAGGTTTTTAAATGTTAATTGGGGAAGGTAATGGCGATACAACACTGCAAAACTACGGCGTTAAAACGTTTATAGCGAAGTATGCTGTCACGGCTATTTATCAATTAAATTCCCATAAATGAAGCACCTCCTAAGTAACGGAGCAACTTTATCATTGCATTCCATCGCCGGTCACAGGGAACATTTCAACAGAACCTGCCAGTAATTCAACTACTGTAATGCTACGTTAGGCCAAACATATCGACCGCTCAATACGGTAGAATTGTCGCTTAAAGCGCGATGGTCAGTGAACTTCACGAATCGAGTTCCAAGTGTTTGTCGACGCTATTCGTGGACGTGTCGCCCTAGTGAGTCATGCGTGTTGTACGTGCACACCTGACGTCATTCCTAACGACAGTGCACGACAGATCCGTCGACGCATGGATCCGAATTCCGAGCGATATTTCATTTCGTAGAAAATTGAAATGCTTCAAGGGTCACTAGCCGATGAAGGATGGGGGGTTAAAAGGAGCTGTGCCTGCCTTGTCATCGATCGGGAAACCCAATTAAACTCAGCTCGTTAAAATTGATCACAATCATGCAAATTGCACAGTAATTAACGACACAACGCTTCTGACTACGAATGCGATTAAGGTTCAAACGCTACGTAGCAATTTGACTGATAGTTATTGCTTATCACTTGCTCAATATAGTATGGTTCGGCGCCTTTTTGCTACTTATCTATATGTGGCTGCAAAAAATAAACATACTTACGATTATTTATTATATTTCCAACTACAAAAAACATCAAAGCTAAGCGTTTCGCGTCATTTAAATAGCTATAAATAAATACATAGCTACTTCTATATGCCACTGTAATTGTATTTACGCCGCTTTTCCCTTCATTTACAGAATTCCAGCCATCTCAGTGACCCGACCATCTACGACACACATCTCTGAGAACGTCACCAGCACCCACCAGAAGACGCCCACACCACCGAGCGGTTACCCATACCCACCGCCGGGCGGCTACCCATCCCAGACCACCTACTATCAGCACCCGCAGCCGGCGCCCCCGCACCCGCACCCGGCGCCCCCGTACGCCCCGCCGGCGCCCCCGTACGCCCCGGCGGGCGCCCCCGTTCTGCCGCCCCCGTACGACGGGTATCATCAGCAGCCGGCTTATAACCCGGCCTTCCAGCCCGGGCCCGAGGACGTCAAGACGCCAATGTGAGGGAAAGACGGGGAGAGGAGAGATGAATTTGAAAGAGAGCGAGACTTGAGACGGAGAATAGAGAGTGAGAGAACAGCGGGCTGGTAAAGTGGCATTAGAGGGACCTGTCTGTGACAGCTACTAAGTGGAAAACTCCGCGACTGTCAAAAGACGGATGATGACTGATACCGTGCTGATACCGTGCCACTTCTTTCGTCTATGTAGGTCCCTATTCATGGCCGGTGTTTTTCTAAGAACTCGCTTTTGTCATCAGTGCCATTGACGCATTGGATTACTGACAATGCGACTGTCTGAGTGTGGATTGTTTGCGATGTTTGGGTGTAATAATGTCCAGAGGCGTCATTCTTTAGGATCTCGCCGCATGTTGCCAGACAATAGAGTTCACAGCTACGTTGAGTGGTGTCACATAATGGTGTTGTATATTTTACTTACGCTAATAAAAAGAATAAATAATTTCCACCGTGGTCGTTTTTTTGTCGATATGGTCGTACACGAACTATGCACAGCTCTATACAATGACAGCTATCCATACTCGACCGTATCGCTTGCCTTTTTTTGTTGTGGTCTGTTTTGCAATGGGTATAGCATGCGCGATTGGCATCTGGATTTGAATGTAAACGGTGAAAGTAACTGCTATGCAAATTATCAATCGTTAACACTTACACAATCCATCCAAACCGTTAATTTGGAGCCGATGCGTTTTACTGACTTCGACCAAGTGTTTTGTGCTAATTTCCGTTTGAATAATAGGTGATAAATTTTCAGAAGTTTGATTTGTGTCAAATTAATGAACTCAATGTAAAATTTTACTACAACTCGCCACATCTTTCCCTATACATAGTGTTTCCGCTATGAAAGTGGCTGCTATTTATGCGAAGTAAGTTCAAAGTGTTGTGACGCCATACTTCCGTGCAGTTGCACTTTCACCAGCACGGGAACTCATGCTGCCTTGAAAAACCTAGCACGCAAAGCAACGAAAGATGCTATCAGTGCTAGAACGCTATATGGGGATCACCGCTCGTTCTACCGAACCGTGCTGGTTTTGAAAGTAAACGTTGCATTCCAACGAATAATGTTCAATGTCGCAGCCTTGTTGAGGCTCACTATGTAGGTATGGAACTGTTTACAATGTGAGGGTGGAAGCTGCAATTTTGATTATATCGTTGCAAATTCCATTCTAGGCCACACTCGATTCGTAAGTATGTAAGATCCACAAACTAGACAAACTGCAGCGCCTATCGAACTGTATTTTCCTTCATGCACATGTGGGAAGTTCCAATTTCCATGTCTCAGTATCTGCGTCGTGCCTATCGTCTGTAACAGTAGACGTCCAGGGAGGAGAGGGAGGTCAGACGTCACGCTCAGTAGCCCACTGAGGCGGGATCAGGACCCAACCACAGCGAATTACTGAGGCGGGGAGAGTCTCCACCCGGTGGTACGGTGGTTAGGGGGCACCCCCGGGAAAATGATTTTCCGGGGGTGCGGGCGGGGGCCCGCGGCCCGTGATTCGTTACGCCAACGAACAATCGAAACGGAGGGAGTGGCGCCCGCTCACTGTCTTCGACAATCGAGTTTACTATGTTGTGCATGCTGTGTGTCCTGCTATGCATATGCTGACGATCTCAACCCCGGCCAGAAATAAGCGGTATTACTGCACGCTGTTGCAGTTTGTGTCTACGATTTGTGTTTGGTGATTGTTGTCTGTGAAATAAGCTGTGAAGTGTGCCGTGTCCAATAAACTTCAGCGAATGTGAAAAAAAGGTAAATACAGTAAATACAGAAAAAAAAGAGTCTCCACCCCAGTGAACCACCAGAGAGGGTGTCCAACTCCTCAGTAGACTACCTCGGCGGGAGGCGGGCGCTGCTGGCTGTACTTCAGCTCCAGCTCGTCCCCCACCTTATCCACCACACTAAGCACATAGTCGAGCTGCTGGCGGGTGTGCGAGGCCGACAGACAGAACCTAGCGCGCGCTTCGGTCAGCTTGGTGGCCGGGTAGGCGATAACAGCCGTGGCCACGCCGTGCTCCTTCAGACGACGGTACAGCGCCGCCGTCTTGCTGACGAAGAAGGACATCAGCGGCACCACGGGGGAGTCGTCGTTGCCGTAAACGATGAAACCCATCTGACGTAGACGCTGGCGGAAGTAGTGAGAGTTGCGAGCCAGAGTGTCGATCTTGCGACGGCCCAGATCGGTGCCGTCACGGCCAAGGATGATCTCCATGGAGGCGATGACCTGCTGGACCACGCAGGGAGGCATGGCCAGTGCGTAGGCGGCAGAATGACTGTGCGCGCGGAGATGGTCGACCAGCGCACGGCTGCCGCCGATGTAGCCACCAGCGGCACCGAAACTCTTCGTGAAAGTACCCATCATGATATCTACATCAGTCGGATCACATCCGTAGTATTCGACCACGCCTCGACCCGTGGCACCTACGGCTCCAATGCTGTGAGCTTCGTCGAGGTACAGGTAAGCTCCGTACTTCTTCTTCAGCCGGATGACGTCGGGTAGCAGAACGATGGAGCCCTCCATGCTGTAAACACCCTCCACCACGATCATCACCTTGCGCCAGCGACGTTCTTCGGTCAGTGCCGTGATCAACTGACGCTCCAGGTCAGCCATGTCGTTGTGCGCGAAGACGCGGATCTTGGCTCCCGACAGACGCATCCCGAGGATAATGGAAGCGTGATTCATCTTATCGCTGATCACCAGACAGTCGGGTCCGACCAGGCTAGGGATGTTGGTCGAGTTCGTGGCGAATCCCATACCGAACGTGATGGCGTCCTCAGTGCCGAGGAACTCAGCCACCAGCGTCTCCAGCTGCATGTGAAGTCGCTGGGTGCCGACCTCCTGTCGCGCGGCGGCGGATCCCACGCCGTACCGCAGGGTGGCAGTCTCGGCCTGGTCAGCGCATGGTCCCAGGCCGCCGAAACCCAGGTAGTTGTAGGAGCCCAGGTTGATGTAGCTGTGAGATTCCCCGGTTAGTGTGAACCGCGAGGAGAGCTTGCTCTCGAAGCGGCGCTCCATCAGAGATACCTGCCCGGACACAGAAGACAGTCACTGGATGTCAGACAGCCACACATGTCTGTCGTCTGAAATCCGTTAGATGACCATTTCGTTTAAATTTGGTGAAACGGCACATACATTTTACATATAACGTAGGATACATATAACATACATACGGCCGCGCCGCATCGACCACCTTCGCTTTTAAACTTCCCGTCCCGTCTGTAATTTTGTCCCCACTGCTCACCATATTCGTAGCCGCCGAGTCGATGGGATTGCAGAAGCAGTCCTGCCACCGCCGGAAGATATTCCGGGCGTGGAAGCCGCCAAAGTCGTCCGTCCTGTAGAGCGGAGTGTACTCCTCCCGGCCCGCCTCCATGTTACTCGGAGGGGCGATGTACTCTGACGAAAAGGGAAAATGTTCGGTATCGCTCAGTGGAGAAGTGAGCTAGCTTGTGAATAGGTGACGTGCAACAGGCTCGCTTATTTAGCGTTACCGTTCGAGCTTCGATAACGCTCGAACGGTTCTCATCGATGACTGCCGGGCTTCATAACTGCACTTGAGTGCGCGATCACTGGAGGCCTACGCAACGTTTGTTTTCAGTGGGGTTACAAGAGACTCATTGATTTAATTTTGCCGTTCTATTTCCTGAAGCCCGAGCACGTTCATCGGGCATCTACTCTCAGTCAATTATAAAATAAATGATTTCGACCGATCAATTACCGTTGAATCAATGAAAGTCAGGTCAAGGTCAAGGTCAATATCGAGATCAAAACATTAAAAGCACATAATTGACGTTGGAAGTGGTCGACTCCAGCCGATGATTATACACCTCTTACTCCCATCTCACTTCACTAACTTGTAATTGACTAAGAACAAACAGGCCTAATCCATTAAAAATAAAACCGTCACGTAAAATCGTACAACGCATATGCTTCTTTGGTGACTTGTATTATTGCATATCCGCGTCGTGTGCTATTTATGAAATCATCCATTACCCAAGTTTTACCGAAAGTTCACAGATCGCCCGGCTCTGCCCGGCGTCGGGTTTACCTTTGACGTTTCCCACGGCCTTGAGCACGTTGATAGCCAGGTTGACCAGGAGCTCGACCCGCCGCGGCGCCGGCTCGAAGGTTTCCTGGTTGTACTGGCGCAGCTGACGCTTGGGCTGGGTCGGAGCAGCCTGGATAGGCTCGGTGTCGGCGGCGATCGCGGCCTGGAATCAGGGACACGCAACGGCGGAAAACGGCCGTCAATGGAATCGGGTGTGGGCGGCTGTCACTGCAGAATGCAGAACTCTGCAAGGTTCGTGTACGGACACATGCCGAACAGGTTTTTAGCGCTACCGATTTTTGTTACAGCTAGATAAAACTGGTATAGATAATTCATACCGAGGCATTAGGAAAATAATGCAGGTGTAGGTAAGGTAGCAGAAGTGATGCAAAATACATGCCTGCGATGGCGTTATACCTACAACGGGCGATGCTTGGACATGGTCCTGAAATGACCGATATGATTTCCATTGTTGTCCATGAGCGACTGATGTTTCCCTTCATTGTACTTGATTTTGGGCAAGAAATGTACCCATGACCTACCACGAACAGTTCGTGTTTTCCCGTTTTACTCATCACCACGGTACCTAAAGCGGCGAAACGGCCGGATATATTGAATTAGGGCGAAACAATACCTTTTCATCGATAGTCTCCTTCACTCCAACATCATTTCTCTTCTCCTCATCCTTCCACTCCTTCTCGCCCTCATCTACTTCACCTTTCTCCGCCCTCTGCCCCTCCCAGACTTCAGGAATCTGCTCAGTCTCTTCGGTGCCCTCGAGTCCCGTCTGCAGCGCCGCCTGCGCCGACCGCTCTCGCTTCAGTGGCGCCACTTGTCCAGAGGGCGCCACCAGCTCCAGACCGCTGTCCGAGCTCTCGTCCTCTGAGTCGGCCGAGCCAGGGCCAGTGACGTCATACTCGGAGAGGACAGAGGAGAGCGAGATCTGCGACAGCTGACGGCCATACCTGAAAAAGTGAACGAGTGGTTCGATGAGGGTTTGTCGCACTTTTGTGGTTAGAAGATGGCACCACCTACATGACCAGCCGGCAGCCTCTGGTGATCAAATGTGCAACAAGTGAGCAAAAAATAAAGGATTGATCCTTTAAAATAGAACAAAACAAAATAAAACCGAACCGGAATCCTCATATGAGGTAGGCTTGGTTCCAGAGCATGACCACCAGAGGAAGTAACAAAACCACCAGCTCAATCACAGTCCGAATAAAATCGAGCTGAGTCGAACCGAACCAGTCTGATCAGAGTTTATCTGACGTTATCCTTTGACCTGGACTGACCCAGCGGACGAGGCGGAGCTCAGAGAGCCGAGCGAGCTGAGAGAGGCGAGAGAGTCGACTTTGTGGGCCGGCCGGGCGTCGGTGGGTGCCACCGGCGCCGGCTCCGGCTCCACACTCCGCTCCTCGCTGCTCTGAGGCATCGCGCCGGCTTCTGGGGGCACCTCGGGACGAGAGAGCACGCCGCCCCGCCGCCGACAGACACACTACAGGCCCCCCTGGGCGGGCGGCGGCGCCCTTTAAAGGCTGTCTGACTGCTCACAGGTGCAGGGGCGTGTCAAGTGGGACGAGGAGGGGTGAGTGAGGAGGAGGGGTCAGAAGCCAGCGGGACGTGGGCAATGGGGGCCGCAGGGGTCGGCGTAGATTTCGAATTATAAGAACAACACGAGTTGAGTATAAGAACAGTGCACAGTGGGACAGGCTGAAGGCAGAATTGGTCGACAGCACCTTACTTTTCCTGACGACAACTGCTCTGCCATTCCCAGAGACGTGGGCGGTGCTGCATCCGCCGTCCATTAGCCCGCTAATTTGCAGCGCATCTGAGCGAACAGGTGCCCACTGGCGGCGATTACTCGGTGACATTAGCTCGGACATTTGTCGGCCTGGCGACCATGGACGGCGGGCTGAGCTTCGGCAGCTGTGGAGCTGCGGCAGCTGAGCACGCACTTGAGCTGCTCAGATGATGACATCCCACGCGGGCAGCGCATGCCCAGTCAATAAGGGTTCGTGTTTAGGAGCTGGAAAGGATTACATGTCCACCAGCTGCAGTGAGTGAAGCGCTCCTCATTAACCTACAAGTCTGATAAGTGACGAGTTCATACATCGCCTTTACGCGTTTATAGCCGTCAATTATGTGGGAATCGAGTGTCTGTCGGCAGTGTAAGTGCTCCGATTGACGGAATGTTTACGGTCGGGGTCAAGGGTGATGGGTAAAGTGAAAGTCGAGAGCTCTCGGCCAGCTCTTTAGTTGGAGCTCCAAGTTCAGAGGCTGCAGCTTGAGAACTTGATTGCGTTCGCCGTTCACAGGGCTGGCGAAGCCAGCTATCGGACACTATCGAGACTTGTGTGTGCGCTCATACTCGTAGATATGGAATGGTTCAGGGCAGGGCACGGAAGGTTATTAACTCGCACGCTTTATTTGGTGTCCGTGTATATTGCTCAACGCTCATTGTCTATAAAAATACACGGCCTATGTTGGTCATTGATGAAATGGAAAGCAAATAAATTTTCGCATTTATTTACCTCTCAGAATTTTAATAAGAGGCAGCGTTAGCCTTTTTACTTCGGGATGTCGTACGCCATAGGCATCTGTGCAGAAGCTTGGACATATAACGTCTAAAGCAGTGAATGCAATGGGCCGTCAGAGTAGGCAAGCGGTTTTCAAAGCGGATCCCAATGGTTTTAATTTTCGTCCTCTGACAAACGACTTCAAAGTCAACCTCAATCAAATCGCACCTGTGTCCCGTCCAACTCTCATCAAGAGATCGGCCATCTCCGGCCTCTGGCGACCTCCAAACGCAGCTGTAGCCTCCAAAGTCCAAACCGCCACAATAGACCTCCGTCCGTGGCCATCAGCCTCCCATAGTGCCGTGTTTCCGGACATAAGTCACGTCCTTGCCGTCTGACCCCGTGACAATGGCCGGGTTTTGTTCGCCGGTCGCCACAGCTGTCGTCGTCAGCAGCCGATCATTACGTCATTTGGAGCGGGCGGTGTCCGCGACGCGAACGGAGGCGCGGTGTCCGACCAGCCGTTTCCGGCCTACCGCAGTGTCCGCCGTTTAGAGTGTCAGCGTCCGGTGACTGTGGGTGTGGGTGTCCGGTGATTTGGGGTGTCGCTGTGTCGGTTTCAGGAAGCACGAGTGAGTAAAGCATTTAAGTCGGTAAATATTTAACTGGAGTCCTTCCAATGCCCGGTCTCTAAAGCACTGAAATGCAAGCACAGACACACAAAAAGGCGTGACAATTAATTGCCACTATCACGATTAAAGGCTATGTGGATACTAGCCTCTCCTTTTCCTCTGTCCATTTTTTCGGTTGTTCGCGCGAGAACAGCCAAAGCCTGAAAAGTATTCGTCATGTATAAGTCCAGCCTCCAGGCATGCCTCGCTCTTATCGAAACATGGAGGCATGTTTTCTTCAAGACCACACAGTGCGGCGCTCTGTGACGATCCAGCGCGCTCTGCCCGCGTCTGGCGCGCTGCGGCGGACCTGGCGCGGGCGCGACAAAAAGCGTTCACAGTGGCGATGTCTGGCCCGGTGGCGGCGTCCTGCGGGCACCGGACCTGCCCCCGGCCATTAGAGCATCCTGTGACCGGGAAATTAGGGACCACCTAGGTGGTGCGCGCGGGGGCTGGCGCTTCACACGCTGTGATGAATCGTAGCGCCCCGGCGCAGGTGTAAGGGTGTCACCTTCTGCCAGTGTCCTGTCATGTTGGCGATGAAAGGAAGCGATTCGCAGGGTAGCTGCTTTCGAGTGTAATTGGCGGTAATCAAGGGTGATGAGTGGCGCATCATTTTTCTCTTTTTTTATGCTTATCAACTAAGTACAGATGTCGGTAGGCATTTGTACCGCAGAGAGTTACGAGGAAATGCGCCAGCATATTTGTTGCCAACGAGGTGCCCGATTTACGTCCACATGCATAATGATAGGTTGAGGGCTACGCATGGCAGCTCTATATAAGATAAGCATTTGTGGAATATATGAAAATTATTTGATAGCAATGCATCTTTATCTCGGACGGATCCTTAGATAAAGCGTCATTTAGTATCGAATGTCTGGCGAACGCACTTACAGTCACGATTGACAAAGGTCATCGAAATTATTTACGCGTAAATAATTTCGATGACCTTTGTTAATCTTGACTGTAAAGGTGCTCGCCAGACATTCGATGCTAAGATCACGGCCTAGTATGAAATACCGCAGGCTGTGATTTCGGACGCCAATTACAGGTGTGCCGGTGGTCAGTGGCTGTGTGTTTCAATGTTTCCATGGCTAGTGGTCGGGGGAGTCAGGTTCCCACAGCAGGGAGGATGTGGCGGCGGTCGCAGGGGAAATTGTGGAGTGTTTACCTGCGCCGACACGTTCGACAGGTCTCCGACACGAGGCTACCGGAGGTCCCAACTCAAACCCTCCTCTAACCCTCCGTCGACGGGCGAAAACATAATCAAGACATTTAACTTTCAGCCGGCACTTGAACTGGCAATAAGGTCGAGTTTACCGCGTGTGACGGGCTGGTTTGGGCTCTACTGCTGGCGAGCCTGAGGCACCACTTGCCCACCAATTTAGAGGAAGGGTGTGGAGTTGGCGATAACCCAGGAGGACAATGGGACACGAGAAATGAGACGATGGAAGCAGGTGGAAGCGGGGGAGGACTAGCCGCTGGAAATGAAAGATCTTGGTGAAGCAGATAAATTTAAGCTAAAGAGATCTGGTGATTGAGATAATCAAAGTATGCTCACGACCTACGACTTCTGGCCGATTTATGCAGACCGACCGACATCTCGCAAGGCGTAAGTGAATACCACCATGCTGCTGGCCCGGTCGCCAGTCACCCCAGTCGGTCCCACAACTCGCTCATCGCGCAGTGCCCAGCCCAGCCACGGCCGCCCCACCCAGGCCCATCTCCGTGACTGTCCGAACTGTTAGACGCGGCCCGGGGCGGGTCGATCGTGCCGTCCGCCGGCCCACACCACAGACAGCGAGCCTCTCAGAGCGGGCGCCGTCCAAATAAACGGCACCGGCCCGGCCCCCGCATTTCCATGACAATAGACGGCGTAGCTCATCCGAGCTCGCTGATAAATATCTCAATTACTGTTGTTCTGAATTTGTAGTCTTAATGAGACAAAGGGCTCGGCTGGCCGGCGCTCGAGCGGTTTCAATGGCCGGCAGTGCACGCCCTCATTGTGTGATCGTCGACCCGGCCCGTTAGAAGCAGCGCGCCTCGTCAGCTGATAGGCGCCGCCGTCGATCGGTCAGCGCGCGTAGGGCGGCCGCGCGGGAGAGGAGGGAACCTAAGGAGACTCTTCACGACAGATGAGTTATCCCTTTGAGAGATGGCGATTGCAATTTTTGCATGTTGCAAGGTTTTTCATGACTGGGAAGCCCAGGGAAGTGGTGAGCAAAACTTAACTGTGCAAATTAACATTAAACATGGAAGGTAAGGTATGTTCATATTCTATTTAGTAAATGAGTACCAGGCAATGCGGGAAAAACAAAGAGGCAGCCGGGTTCAGATAATGCCGGGAGATTACTTGCCTCGATGTTCCACACCCTGGGAAATCGCTGACGTGCCGATCTAAAGGAAGCACAAATGCGCAGTATTTAACATAATTGTCTGAACTCTGCAGCCGGGAGCGGCCGACATCAGCTGTTGCAGACTGTCTACCATGTTCACATGTTTATGTTGACAAATTGTTTGCGAAGCCGGCAGTTGAGCGAGGCCGTGCAGTGCAGCGGGCGGTATATTAACCGGTTTCAGCGCCCTGCAGAGCGCTCACTGTGAAGGCTGGCGGGAGCGGCACCCGGGCACCACTCTGCCCACCGAGAGGGCGCCGGGCCGCTCATCACTCTGCCCAGTCCCTTCATTATCTCGCCCCTCTCTCCCAGCTGCAAGGTCTGGGTGAGTGGAGCCGGGCAAACCGGAGGGAGATCTGGGCCGGGTCCTGGTCAATGGTGCTTCTCAGTTTCAGTCATCTCTGTCAAATTGTTTGAAATGTTCTTTAATAAGATAATCTAGGTTCACCAGTGCATTAGTTGAGCTGAACTTAAGAACTTAGATGTGATATGCAATGTGCAGACAGTACTTATTGCAGTTCAAAACATTCTCTGAACTTTTGAACTTCTGACCAGACCATGGAGCTCTCGTAAAGTTCATTGCCCTGAAGATCGTGTCATATTTCAACTCTGATATAAAAGACCTAATAGATAACAAAACATACCCTTCAAGTGCATGTCGAATAGTAAGCACTTGACATAACTTCTATGAACGATATAAACCATGTAACCGTTGTCCTGCCTATGAATTTGAGCCGCTTGCGCGGCAGTAGTTAGGGCTCGTTTAGATCGTTCAGCTGATGAGTACTGCGACTGCTCCGGCTGCGGATCGCTGCTCCGAACCTCCAGCGGACCCATCTACCCCGCCTCCAGCCACCAGACACAATTAATACCGCCATCGCGAAATATGATAGCCGAATAAACTTGATCTAACGGCCGGCGCTGTGCGCTGTTGCGCATATTTCGCTGTCGCTCTAAGGTCGGCCGGCTCTGTGTCATCCACCGCCGAGCGGTCGCGGATCTGTGATCGAATAAAGATAGCACGTTACGCTGGGACGGTCCTGGAGGAGCGGGGCTACGCCCAGAACGATAGCCAGACAGTCATATGACGGCGACGGAGGTTATCCGAGTTGCGACCCAGCTGGATGATTTTGTTTCTGAACACGGTAGCCACAATAGGTATGAGAGACTCTTCAACACATTGACCCCCAGTGATCTTTGATTTAGACTCTGCTTCCAAACTTTGTTGTGTCACTTTACCACATAAATGCTGTTACCACAATGATCCTGGCCTGCTACTGTTTCATTCCGACTTAAATGAAGCGCAGGCTATTTGCCAGAAGTGGCCTCACTTTTCAGCCTAAGCCTATGTTAATCGGCCTCTTACGAAGACAGTCAACAGCAGCGCACGAAGACAACAGTCGGCTTGCTAACGTCAGCATCGATGTTAATGGCCCTCATTGGTGTCCAAGGACGAAATCCGGCTCTGATATATGACCGTGTTTTCTGCGCCCGAGCGACCCGACTCCTGTTACAGAATGGCCGTGAGGTGGGGTGGGGTGGGGCGGAGTGGGGCGGTCAGCATGGATGATGGTCGTTTGAAGAGGGTGGGTCTATCACGCGTGCAACTAAGTTACACCGCTGATGTTTGTGATGCAATTCGATCGACAGTCGCCTTTACGTGATGGCAAAAATATTTGTCTACATATATAGGACACACACACATACTCATCTGCTTTTTCATCCATCCATCCTCTGCTCGCTGTCCGCCAGGCAAACTCGCATCCTATCTGCCAGAGCGGCCAGTGGGCACTAGTGCTATCTTTCTGTGCATGCCTCCAGCCACTGCAGTCTCCAGGCGCGAGCGGGCGACCTCTTCAGTACCGCCGTCCGAACACCGTCTATCTTCGCACTCGTGCGCCGCGTCTCGCTCTGCGCCACATTGGGCCGTGGTTCTGATCGATCAAACGCCCAACCGGCCACGCTGGGTCGGCAGTTCCGGGCTGGGCATGCCTCACGCGCTCTGAGGAATGGCCAGTCCGCGTGAGGCCTCCCATCACGATATCAGGCCGCCAGTGCCGCGACCGCCGCCGCCGCCACTGCGCCATAAATTGCCGCGCCGTCCACCACCCGCCGTGCGCCACTATTGTCTCCGGGCGGTGGATCGCGGTGCGCAGTGATTAAGATTAAGGATATGGATGATGATGTCGGAATCTGCCGCCGTGAGTCGAAAACGCGCCGGGAAATGTGATGTTTGTATCGGGGCAGACGGACCTGAACTGTATCGGCTTCATACGCCAGTGCTGAGCCACACATCGCCTCATGCTGTAAACCGTTACTTTTACGGGAATCGGAATTACTTTTTGATTTATGAGTAAGTAGACGGTACACAATGGTATGTTGTTAATTATCAAATTAAAGCGTCACCAAGTTGAAATAAGCGCACCGTTTTTGCACTAGATCTCGACAGGTGCCACAGTCATGCTTTAAATCGGAGCTCTGGAATTGAACTGACGGAAATGATTAAGAATAGCCTGGGCGTTGCGCATTGCTAGAAAACATGATCATCTTTATATCAGTGTCGAATTAAGCAAGGCTTTCAAAAACTGGTCTACCTTTGTTCCTGTCCTAGTCAGGCCCATCGATAATGTAACAGTATTTGGTGTCACGTCCTATCAGCCCTAACCCTTATTCTATCGGTTAACCACGATATCAACCGAAGCGAACCCAACATACATAAATACCCAGCATAGCATGACCAGTTAACATCCCCATAACTGTCACTACAGAGCACAGACCTAATGGAGCCACTAAGAGTGGCTCCAATTTTCCCGGCCCGTCCCCCAGCACGCTGGATACCAATTACTGCCCAGCAGGGGAGGGCAGTATCCGACCATCCTCCGACAGACAAATATATCATGGGCCCGTATCGATCACTCGCATAAATCTTTCTGCAAAGCCGGGCGGCCCACGGGCCTCCGCGGCGGTCAGTAGGCGGTCGTGGAGGACGAATTTTAGCTGGGGATGCTGACCCGAGAGCAGAGCACGTCCAGCTCATGCTGCTCTGTAAAGACCTCTATCCATGTAAAGCTTTCCTCTTTTCTTTTGGCGATCCATGTCGGTATTTGCTTGCAGACTAGAGATGTTGTCTTGTTTGGATTCAAGTCTCGAGCGCAGGAACTGTCTTCTCCTATAACTCGGGCTGTTGGAAGGATCCCAGTGCCATGGTGTCATTGTCCTTGCTACCCGAGACTTTGGCGCCTTATATAGACTCTGGTGAGCCTTTAATGCTGCTATTTCGTGAAAAAGGGAGGATGTGTTGGAACATGCAAGGCAGAGCCGATCTGCTGTGCATGTGTGTGGTCCGCCCTTCCCCTATTTCATTGCCTACCGAGTGGATCATTGTTTAGTCGACAGCACAGTTTGGGGTGGAGCTCCTTGTCTCCCACACACACACCTGCCCTTCTCACCCCTTCCCCGCCCCACCTACACCACCTCAGCAGCCGCCGCGCCGACCGCACCGCCAAAACAACGCAATTACGCGCGAGTCGAGCGGAGGCGCGCGGCACATGGCGGCGGCTGCTGTGGCCACGGCGGCGGCGCGGGCGCGGGCGGCGGCGGGGGCGGCCGCGCCATGAAGACATCACGCGCTGCCCTCCGGTGTGATGGAGTGCGGGCCGCCGGTGTCGCCGCAGGGGGCCAGTGAACGACCCTGGAGCGGTGCTCCAGGCCGGCGGGAGGCCACGAGGACGGGCGGGCTGACACGACCCGCTCGGATGGAGATGGCAAGAGACAGGTCCGGGACGTGAACTGGGCCGCGCTGTGTTGACATGCTTGGCACGGTTCAATATTTTAACGTTTGACGTGCAATGGCTCTGGTAAAAAAGGGCATGAGACAATAAGAGTGGTACATACACGAGTGTACGGAAGGACGTGATTTAAAATGTTGGATGATAATGGAGCCTCAATGTGCTTAAATGCTTCAGAATATCCCATGAATTGATGTTGATTCTGGATTTACTTGCATTGACACAACAGTGCTACTGCAACAGTTCACCCCGGCGCATCAAAACTCATAACAACTTTAAACGGCAATAAAACTGTGCAATAATCTCTCCCACTCGCACTCTCAATCTCAAGCCATGCATTGTTCTACGTTCAGCCCATGAGCGGCACACCTGCAGCTGAAGCCCAGCTCAATTATCTGCCGTCGTCGTGGCTCTAATTGCACGGACCAGCCGCACCCGGCCGACGAAAACTGCAAACGTTTCGGCCATTATTAGATGATGCGCTCGCAACAGGTACAGATGGGAATCATGCCGGCTAATTTTCACTGTCGACACGCGGTGACTGGCTGGGCTGGGCGGGAAGCAGCGTGCATTAGCAGCGAGTAGTAGCAGCTTTTGCCAGAAGTGGACGGACACTAAAGAATACCAGCGCACACCAGCAGCACCAGCAGATAACATATGTGTACACAAGTGTGCACCAGTGATTACCAGCGGCACCAGCAATAGAAACCAGCACCAACAGCTCGCACCAGCAGTCCAGCTGCCCAGCAGCTCACATCAGCAGCACAGCAGGTCGTTCCAGCAGCACGGACACCAGCAGCGGACACCTGCGGTCCCCACCAGCAGCGAGCACCGGCGGCGGTGTGACCGTGCTGACGTTGCCAAACGGCGATGGGGCCAATCGAACGGCCGGCAATGAGATGCAGTGCCGATGGCGGCTGCATGCCAATGCGTTGCACTTGTTAATTGAGCTGTGTCTAAATCATGGCCGGTCGGACCAGGGTGCGGCCGAGTAATTACTGTGGAGTTCGCATCACGTTGTCGACGCTGCAACCTCCCCCGGGAACATGCAATCCTCTCCGCACTTGTGTTCATGACTACGTGGCACATTCAGGCCCGGAACACGAGACCCAGGGTTTATCCGCCGCCGCCGGATGCCGTTTTTCTCGAGATAGATCTTTTGGAATGCGGAGATCGTCTGAGCAATGGAGTAAAACTAGAAACTATTTCTTCCCTGAAATGTCAAGCATTGTTGGCTTTCTCTCTGTGTTTCCTTCTTTAATCTACTAAAGCCGTGTTCTTCAGTTTAGATAGATCACATGCGCCTCAGACGAGTTTCCTCGAGTTACGACTAAATCGATTTGCCTCCGCCAGACACCGTATAGCTTCCCCGGTTCCGGCACTCGTTATTCCGTCCGCCGTCTGAGTTAACACTCGATAGGGCAGTTTCTCCTGTTAGACTAAGAGGAAACATCCTGTCACAATTATGTCATAGGCTGTGATACCTAGGCTTGCTAATTACATACTTACCATGTAGGTCCTCAAACTTTCAAGCATAATAAAGCACGACATCCTGTCACACGCTTTCCAGAGTTTCTGCATCTATGTTCTATTACTGTGGGGTGTCTTTGTCTAAATCATCCCGACAGCCTCTCTCGGCTGTGTTTCAGAGGTCGCTGCCACGTCCCGCCGCGTCCCCTGTCGGCCCCTGGCCCTGTGGTCCTGCCGAGCCCAGACACGTCTCCCGCCGCGCACGGGCTCCGGCCGGCCGACCCTCGGGCTCCCCGCCGCCTGCCCGCCGCCCGCCGGCCCGCCTCTACGGCTCTATCATCCCAGCGCTCCCGCCCAGCGGCGGCTCGGCGCGGCGCGGCGGCGGCGGCGGGCGTCCAGTGCTGCCTGGACCGCCGGGAGGGGAGCGCGCGCGACGCTCCGGCTGAGCGCACAGCCATCCACGACGTTGCTCGGGCGCTGCGTCGCTCTGTGAGGAAGAACGAGTGATACTCTGGCTGCTGATTATGAGATAGAGACGGACTGGTGTGAAGGCTGATCGTGGCGTGTTCCTAAGAAGAAGAACCAGAAGCCTGTCTGGCGCCCGCGTCGTGTGTGGCCGTCCACGGCAGGTGCCGGCTGCCCAGTGGTGAGCTCCGCGCGCGAGTGTGAGACCGAAAATTGCCACCAACGGCAGGTGCTGGATGGCTTTGAACCGGTGCTACTGCGGATGTCGTTTTTGATTGCTTCAAATAAGCAAATGACAGTCATTTGAAGGATACCGCCATCCAGAACTGACGTCGCAGTTTGTCGTGGATGGTCTCCACGTGAAGACCTCGATTCAGGACTGTCTCCGCACACCACGGGACACTGAAAGGTACGTTATTGCCCCCAATAGCCACAATCCATTCAGACCCTATTGGCTGGGGGACGCAATTGATTAATGTGCGCGATCCTTTCAGAACCCTTTCTCTGACAGCATAATGCGATCCCAACAGAGCGAGGATTATGGGCGAACGAGGCCTCCTGGGCCGGTGACACTGCCTTTCCCCTCTCGGACACCGGCGGGTCCCTATAGCAGTCAGCCGCGGCCCGCCTTTGAGGCACACAGAGCAGGACGTGCTTTTCAATTACAGCCGGGGATAATTCCGACGATGTATGTCTCCCGCCGCGTGAGAAACTGGCGACGCCAGATGTGACCGAGTGAGGTTCGACTACCGCGCTGGTCCACGGTACAGCCTGTCCCACTCCGCCCCGCCTACCCTCCCTCCTACGGAGCTGTGTTTGTATCTGTCCGTACGCGGCACGGCACTCCTCGAGCACCGCCCGCCGGCGGCTGCTCCGCTGCATCGCAGCGCCTCGCGGGCGGAGCTGTTAACCGCCGGGTTCATGAACTGAAAATGACGAACTCTCGGTCGGGTAATGACGGAGGCTGCAGCGCCGCGCTCTCCGCGGTCGATAAATAAGTCACGAGTGCGCACCTCTGCAGACTCCGCCTGGTGCGCCGCCTCGGGCACCACCCGGCCGGCGCACACTGCCGCCATCAGCAGCCGCGCTGCACTGTGAGGAGACGCTGTGGAACAGGAAGACACACCGCGCCACCACCGGGCGCCGGGAAGTGGCGCAGACGTGCCGGTTGCGGCGCAGTTGCGTCCCGGAGTCGCTGAGGAGGCGATTCGGCGACCGGTGGCGGCGCCGTCTCGCCAGTTGCTATCCGCTGCACGCAGTCGCCGTCAGCTTTGCATTTCGATGACTTGATATGCGATCTGCCAACAGATTATAAATCCACACACGGCGACTGCACGATGGCAGAAAAACGGCCCATTCTGAGCACGTCTGACGATATCCTGGGAAGCAGCGGGGTCTCTCGGCTAGAAAACCTTTCCTTCTGCTTGCTGGTGCATACGGGAGAGTTGGGATAAACGGGTTCGGCTGGAATATCAGAAGCCTGTGATAATCGTAATTTAGGTAGAAGTTCTTAAGTATACACAAACATGTGTTGATTGCTGGCATTAATTTGACTTGCTGCACTTAATGCGTAATTTTGGAAGCCTTTCATTCGATTAATACCTCTGCAATATGCTTATTATAGCTTCAATCTCGACATTGTATTAACGTAATCATCAGTTAGTAGCGAATAACATGTTTATTCACCATTGAGTCGTGCGATTGACGCAAAACACGCAGCATTCGAGTCAGGACACGTGCTGCACGCAATGCGCAGTTTCCTTCAGCTTTGGAGCGCGCACAACCTGGATTCGCACTCGGTTCAATGAAATAAAGATGACGTCGGATGCGATATTGGATAAATGTGCATTACAGGACTGCACGTGGAATTTGGGTACCAACATGAAAACCAATCTGTTCTGTATTAGTGGGCGTGATTATAAGTTAAACGAAATGAAAGCTTGCTCGCATATACCGATGCACACTTACACCAACGAGAAGAGAGTCAAACTAATTACATTTTATAACTCTTCGGAAAGGCTGTTGAGAGGTGGCTAATTCTGCATGCATGCCCGAGGGTTGCTCGGTTACCCGCTGCAGCAGATTTACAGGCAGTCAGCCTGTGTGGACCTGCCCTTTTACTTCGTGCCCAACGCTCGTTAGGAACCTCTCATACTCATCGAGTGGGCCCCGGGCCAGATTTGGCAACATTGCACTTCCAGAACGGCATGGCCGTACCGGGACTCCATGCTCATTTTGGTAAATGGATTCACAATAAAGCGCGCAGTAAATTCCATGGCGACATTGCTGGAGAAGTTTGACCATTTGATAGGGCGAGTCAAACGCAGACCGGTTGCCGCTGACAGGCATATGATATATGGTAACCGATCATTTCCCGTACGTCGGCATAGAAGGCGCCTGAGATCAGGATAGTCCGCTTCTCATGAACACTCGTGAAATATTATTGAACGCGACACCCCATAAGGAGTTTTATGATCAGCCCCCGCTATGTTGCTAGATATTCAATCATTGTGATTTCCATTTTACTTCGCCGCGTTCTCAGAAGATATATACATTTCACAAGGGTGTATGAAATACACGGTAACTGCGGGTAGCCGGGGGCGTCAGAGCACCTGCTTAATATTCCTGGCCGTAATGGTGGCTGTGTTTTGCGAGCGCGCTAACACGGGGTGATCACGGACGTCGGCCTATTTCTGCACAACGAGCCACACCGTTAGCGCTTGTTGGCCCGGCCGCGGGCGGGTCGCTCGTCTGCTCAACCCGAGACGAGCTGGCGGATGCAGCGGTGTCAATGGGTGTCAGAAGGTGTCAGTGTGTAGGAGTGAGTGTGAGAAAGTGGTGCAAATTGTTACTTTATGTCACAAGCATTAAGTGGGTGCCATGAAGTATCAGATGTCATTAGGTATCCATAGGTGTCCCCTAAATGGGCGTTAGGCTAGGAAGACACATCATCAAGACACATCTCAGTAGATTTGTCGGAGCTGATAAAAAAGGCTTCGTATCCTCCCAAATGGTGTAAGATTTGCCATGCAATCTGACATATCTACATTCTACACCCATCCCGACTCCCCTCCCACTGCCCATCTCCCACCTAAAGCAGAGGTGACGACATCGGACGCCTCTCCCTCGTCGGGGCTGCACGGGGCACAATCGGACAATACACCAAGCCACAGAGAGCCCTGACAGGGACACTCTCCTCTGTCGGTACTCCTCACCCCTCCCCCGCCGCAGCACGATGAACAGTGATTTGGCAACGCGTATTGTATCCTCCCTCCCCACAGCTGGGGTCAAGGCCCGTCGCCTCACCCGCCCGCTTTGTGTCTCGCTGACACTGGAAAAAATCGCGAATCAGCTTTGGCGTCTGTGAGACAGAGAGCTTCACACGGGACAGCCTCCAAGCATTTGCGGAGATGACTGTCGAACCGGGTTGCGTCACCGAGGCGTCGTGCCATTTGTCGGCTTTCTAATTGCGTTGGCCGGCGGCGCTGGACCGTCTGTCGGTCTGAGGAGCGGCGGCGGCGGCGGCGGCGCGGCGCTGCGCACCTTTTGCCGCCGCCGCGCCACTGTCGTCGGTATCGATTAGGCTCGGCTCGGTCGGCGCGGCCCACATCGATCCTGCGCGGGCGGCGGCGAGGGCTGAGCGTCGGTACCGACACATTGGCGCCGAGCGTCGTCCGGTCGCGCCGCGCCTCTGTGACCTGACCCGAGCTGACCGAGGCACCGTGACCGACCGGCGACCACCCGGGACAGAGCAGGTGAGCGCGACCGGAGCCCACCGACGGCGTGCGTCCGTTCTCATCTATCAGCGGATCGTGCCGGGTCCGACGGAGACTCCGCCCCGGCCGGCACGATCTGCTGACGGGACGGCGCGGCGGTCACTCACAGACACACAGACATACAGACACACAGACACAGACACAGACACTCAGATACACTGACGCAGACACAGACACGGACACAGACACAGGCACAGACAGACACACAGACATACAGACACATAGACACACACACACAGGTACACAGACAACCATACACACTCACACACACTCAGACACATTCACAACTCGCCTGTCAGTACCGATTGCGCCATGACTCCTAACTACCGTTTAGTATCCTTGTATCACGGTGGCGTGAACCTCTAGGAGAGAGGGAGAGGGTGCAATCACGCCACTCCGAGTGTCATTGAGGAGTCTGTTGGGAAACGGTCCCAAATCACCGCTCGCTGCCAGGCAGTGGTGGGTCGGTCGCCTCGTGAATAGTGTGTCAGGAGTGGGGGAGGGGGGGGGGAGGGGCGCACGACTTTCCCTGCCGAGCAGATATCACGTTACCGTCCGACGGCACCGGATAAAAACCTGATCAGGACGCCGCCAGACAGTATCTCAATTGGAATCTGCCGGCGCCGGACGTTTGGGAAATAGCCCAGCGCCGGCGGGTGGTGGCTGCGTCAAAATCCGGCCCACAATCCGCCGTGTGCTGCCGCCGGCCGCCGTAACTTCGGTAAAGCGTCGTAACTCAGGCGCCTGATAACACGGCTAGCCGACCGTGCAGACGTGGGGACGGCCTGCCGGCGCCGGGGGCGGTGTGGAGCCCCCCCCCCACCCCCCTCCTCTCCACGCACCCCGGGCACCGGGCACCTGATCTGGATGCAGCCACCAGCCTGTGCCGGCCTCGCCGCGCCGCGCTAATCATCATTTTCGTCGCGCAATTACTGCGCGAGGTATCATTAGTCCGGGGCATGCAGGCGCGGCAGGCACGGCCGAAGCCGGCACTGAGCGCAGACGAGACTCGCGCCGCGCGCAGACACGGGTCGAACGGGCTGAGACGACGGGTTCGGACGACGTGAGAACGCGCAGAGAATTCGGACCGAGCTGTTTATTGCACTCTGCGTGGTGATCGCAGCTGTGAATGTGGGTAGTTAGGTGGCTGTGTGTGCGAGGAGCCCAGCACGCCTCCTCAATGGTCGCTCGGTTTTCGCTCTTGTCCTGCCTTCTGTGAGGGTTACCTGGCAGGAGGGTCTGTTATTCTTCCCTGGGTCGTCCCATAGAACCCCTGCCGTGGAGTCCAGCTGAGAAAAAAGGATCCCCAGGGCAGGGTACGATCCTGCGAGCCCACCACGATCGGTTCCATCGATACGCTTTTGGGGTCAAAGATCCCATGAAAACCTTAACACTTCCTCTAAGCATTCCGAGCTAGGTATAAATGGTCTGTCTTATTTTCTGTAGACGGAATACGTGCTTCACCAGCAAAGTCTCACATCTCGCACCATCCATGCGACAAACTCTCACTATTCTCCTGGTCTCATTCGGCGATATCCCTCAGCGATTGTTCAGCCTGACACCGTCGCGGTCCCCTGTCGAAGGCTAACGTGTGACGCGCCGACCTCCGCACCGGCTATCTGATCAGATGGCT